ATTATCATCCTATGTGTTCTTTAGATCATAACCTCATTTATTATTTGACTGCCCCCGTGTGATTTATATCGGTCAGTGTTAGGAAGTAGAATGTATACATTTATACAAGACAGTTTAATTTTCAGTTTTAATGTGGCAGAATTTTACCTCTTCCCTAAAATACAGCTAAAACCCATTATTATCTCTGTTTACATTTTTTTAATAGAAAATAAACCTAAGAAAGAATTAATTAAAGTTCTGATTCAGAGGGGATATGATTCAGATCCTGTGAAAGCCTGGAAAGAAGCTCAGCAGAAGGTAATTTCTTGGTTGGCATTTTTCTTTGTTAAAACAGTATATAACCTAATGTCTATGTTTCACATTTCCTAGTAAGGCTACAATTTAATTCCTCTTCTAGGTTCCTGATGAAGAAGAAAATGAAGAGAGTGACAACGAAAAGGAAACTGAAAAGAGTGATTCTGCCACCGATTCTGGTCCAACATTCAATTACCTTCTTGACATGCCCCTTTGGTATCTAACCAAGGAGAAGAAAGATGAACTGTGCAAACTGAGAAATGAGAAAGTGAGTTGTTGTTGGCACCTGTTGCTTAGAAATACTCTAATGGTGAAAGTAAAAACTGCTGTGTGAGAATGCTGTTTGTGCATTCAAATTAACTCTTGTGTTTCTGAATATCTTTTAAAAGGAGCAAGAACTAGAAACATTAAAGAGGAAAAGTCCATCAGATTTGTGGAAAGAAGACTTGGCTACTTTTGTTGATGAACTAGAGGTGTGTAGAATTTACCTTAATGAAATTTATCTTAGCAATAGAGCTTTGTCAGAAAACTTCATAATATAGAAATAAAAACATGGAGGCTTAAGAATATGTTCCATTGGGGGAGAGAGGGGAAAAAAGAGGAGCTGATACCAAGGGCTCAAACAAAAAGAAAATGTTTTGGAAATTATGATGGCAACATATGTACAAATGTGCTTGATAAAACTGATGTATGAATTGTTGTAAGAGGCCCAGTAAAATAATTTCTTAAAATAAATGTGTTCCAAGATAACCTATAAAAGAACAAATAATCAGATATTTAGAATAAAATAAATGGTGCCAGAAAACACAACCCAGAAGTTTGTGGACAAAGAAAGAGCAGAGCACTGGAGCTGAGTTTAAACAGAAAACCTACCCTGGGTCCCCAAATAAACTTGAAAGGACAAAGCTGGCGTCATGGCTAGCCATTTATACTTTCAGAATATCCTTGATTCCCTGAACTTAGTTTGTAGTGTTTGCTGTCAAACATTATTTTAACTTTTTTTTTAAAGTATTTCACTTCACAAATTAAGCTAAAGAGTTTAAGAAGCATATTCATGAATGATGTATTTTATCCTTAACCTAAGTTCCCATCTCCACATTCATGTTTTGCAAAATATACCTTAATTATATGTCCACAATTTATACTTCGTTGTGGGGTAATTAATTTATCATAGATTTCTCCTAAAATGTAACAAAATAGGATTAACTTCTGTCAAAACTAGGTATTTTAATGTCTGTGTTACTTTGTATATTTAACGCTTGTATCCCTCTTGTAGATTGTTGAAGCCAAGGAAAAAGAAGATGAACAAGTAGGACTTTCTGGGAAAGCAGGGAAAGGAAAGGGGAAAAAAATACAAAAGGTCGAAGTTTTGCCTTCTCCGTGTGGCAAAAGAGTCATCCCCCGGGTGACCACAGAGATGAAGGCAGAGGCAGAAAAGAAAATTAAAAGGAAAATTAAGGTAATTTTCTTTACAACTTTATACATAAAATATTTTAAACCATATTTCTCATCTAAAATTGTATGCTTTAAAATACTTTGTTATTCCGGTTAATATTTTGACCAAATTTGGCCATTTTTGTTATTTTTTAGAGTGAAAATACTGAAGGAAGTCCTCAAGAGGGCAATATGGAACCAGACAGTCTAAAACAAAGACTAGAGAAGAAACAGAAAAAAGAACTAGGTAATTTAAAACATTTTAAGGACAATGGTAAAAATTGAGACAGAGTGTTGAATATGAGAATCTACATATTCCATATAGAATCTGGCATATTCCATATAGATAGGTTTTTTTTTTAGTAAGTTTTTCTTGAGTTGAACTGAGTAGCATAAAGGAAGGCTGCTATGTCTGAAGTATACTTAGGCCTCTCTAGTGCCCTTGGGATTTGTTTCATTTTTAGAAGAATAAATCTTGTAATGAAATATAATGCTAATTTGGTACACTGAATCCCTTAGTTGAGGTCTAAGAAAAAAACAGTTCATTAAATTGCACTTTCTAACCAATTTGAAGTTCTAGTATATAAAGTTTTTTTGAGAGCAATGATCACAACTTAGTCATAATTGTGTTATTCTAACACATAGTGAATGGAACTCTGGTGACATAGTGGGTTATGTGTTGGGGTGCTAACCGAAAAGTAGGTGGTTCAAACCCACCAGCCACTCTGCTGGAAAAAAGACAAAGCTTGGCTGTAAAGATTTATAGCCTCATAACCCACAGTTCTATGCTGTCCTGTTGGCTCACCATGGGTCTGAATCAACTCAATGACAGTGAGTTGAGTTTTGAGCATGTAATTAATATACTTATAAAATAAGTACTTTATTTGAAAGTCCTGGTGATCACTTCCAAAAAATCAGCCATAGCCAGACAACCCCATGGGGTGCAGCGGGAGGTGGTTGGGAAAGACTCAATGGCAACCGATATTTCCTTTTAACATCTTTATTAAAATATCTAATTTATAAACTTAATAAAACTGTATAACATTTGTGTGATATAATAAGATATGTGTATTTACAATTTTTGAGCATTTCTCTCACCTTAGAATGAAACCCTATTCTGAACACTTCACATAATGGAATCATTCAATATGTGGTCTCTTTGGACTATCTGCTTGATATTTAGCATAATATTTTCAAGATTGATCAGTGTGGTGTAATGTGTACTAGAACTTCATTCTGTTTAATTGCCTGATGATAGCCCATTGTTCACATTTTATTCATCCACTGATCGGGTAGACATTTGGATTATTTCCATTTTTTGGCTATTAGAAAGAATATTACTATGATCATTTGTGTACAGTTTTATTTTAATCATTTTATTGGGGGCTCATACAACTCTTATAATCCATGCATATATACATACATTGTGTCAAGCGATTTGTTGCCATCATTCTCAAAACATTTGCTTTCTACTTGAGCCCTTGGTATTAGCTCCTCATTTTTTTCCCTCCCTGCCCCCTTCCTCACAAACCCTTGATAATTTATAAATTATTAATTTGTCATGTCTTACACTGTCTGACATCTCCCTTCACCCACTTTACTGTTGTCCATCCCCCAAGAAGGGGGTTATATGTAGATTTTTTTTTTTTTAATATGTAGATTCTTATATTCAGTTTCATGCAGTTTTTGTGGTAAAATTAGGTGCCTCAACTGATATTCAGGTCGGCATATACTTAAGTTTATATGATACATTCTTACCAACAATATGGGGGGGGGGTTTCCAGTCACCACATCCTTGTCAACACTTCCCTGCCATTTGGGTTGTAGCCATCCTAGTGGGTATGAAGTAACAATCCATTGTGGTAATGGCACAATGTGCTCAGCTGCTACCTGAAAAGGTAGAGGTTTGAATCTACTAGTCATTCCACAAGGGGGAAAAGACCTAGCAATCTGCTCCCATCAGAGCGGGAATCTTATCCTTTAGAGTCATTGCACATCAGCGTCTACTCACAGGCAGCATACTAGCCAAGGATATTGAACATTTTTTTGTGTATCTGTTTATTGGCCATTTGTATGTCTTTGGAGAAGAACCTATTCGTGTCCTTTGTCCAGTTTTCAATTGGTTTGTTTCTCTATATATTCTGGATACATGGTCCTTAATCAGATATATAATTTACAAATATTTTCCCACTTTCTGTGGGTTGTCTTTTCATGTTATTGATGGGGTCCATTACAGTGTAAGTTTCTAGTTTTGATGAAATCCAGTGTATCAATTTTTTCCTTGTGCTTTTGGGATTACATTTACGTAAGCATTGCCTAATCCAAGACCTTGGAGATTTACTCTATTTTTTTTCTGAGTTTTTTATGGTTTTAGCGCGTACATTTAGAAATGTCTGGTTATGTTAGGGTAGTAGTTACTGTGTATCAGACATGCGCCCTGCCGTCCTGGGGCTGTTGGTTGAAAAGACTGTTCTTCATTGAATTGTCTTGGCACCCTTGTCCAATTCATTGACCATGAATGTTAAGCTTTATTTTCTATTCTATTGAACTGTCTGTCTATCCTCGAGTATTCACACTTTTCATGGAAAATAGGTGCTTAGTTCTGTGGTGAATACAAAGTGAAAAAGACAAATGGGAAAGTCTTAGTATTAAAAGGGAGAAGTTATAAAAATATTTTGTGTATGCCTTGCTATTGAAAAACTATATTGTCTCTATAATAGCACACACATATATACCTTTAAACATAGCCAGCAGTCCTTTAACATATAGATCAATTAATCACTTATGTACTTTGAGCACCTACCTGCTTTCCCATTATGGTATGAAATATTTTAAAGGCATAAAAAATGGTAGTGAATGGCAATTAACCCCCAACAAGTTTATCTAGAAAATAAAATTGGACAGTGTATATAAAGAGGCTTCAAAAAGTTCCTAGAAAAAAATAAAATAGAAAGATAATGGGATTTAAACAGGGGGGTCAATTTGGGGCCATGTAGAGTCTGAAGACTTTTTTTTTTCCTTAAGTCTTTTTTAAAAGGGGTGAGACTTGGGGTAAAGAATTAAAGATTGGTTAAGAATTAAGTATTCTGGATTGGGAAAAGGAAAATGAGCATAAAATGTACCCGGAATAATGAGAAATCTAACAGAATAAGGGACTTTATTTTCACAAATAATAGAAATTAGGTAGTTAAATTAGGTTATGGAAAATTAAATCACCAGTTTGTTGGGGGTCAGTGAGTGAAACTAAGTTTGGTTGGAGAATATGAAATAGAGGTACTTTGTAACAAGAAAATTTGTAATGAGATTATGAAGAAAGGACTTTATCAGACCAGTAAGGAGACTACCTTTGTTAAGAGTCACATGAGGGAAATAAAGAGCCAAAGATGGGTAAGAGAAACACATGAGGAAAAGAATTAGCAAAGTTTTATGAGTTAAAATTTCCATACCCAGACATTAAATCCCCATTGCGCTTAATCCTAGTCACTCTTTGTTTTAAACTATTTCCGTGGCTCTGACTGCAACAAAACCTTCAGTTGATCTCACTACATCTATTCTCGCCTCCTTCCCAATCTCCTCACTGCAACCAGAGGACTCTTTTAAAATGCAAATTTGCTCATACTGGTTCTCTGCTTAAAAAAAAACCAAACAAACGACCAGTCATTCATGCAATTCTAACCAGTCTTATTTATTCATGCAACTCTTCCCCCAATCTGCTTTCTAGCCATAATGGTCTTCTTGCCATTTACTAAATGTTTGCTCACAGGGCCTTAACACATGTTATTCCTTAGACTGGAATATTGCATCATCCACCGCTCTTCAATTAATTAATTTTTATTCAATCTTAATATCTCAGCTTACACATCTTTTTTAAGGAATATATATACTGTATGTGTGTGTTACATAAATGCATTGTTTTGTTTTTTTGTTTTTTTAATTAAGATGACCAAGTTATAGATTACACAGGGAAAGAAAGGGTGCTGTGTCTGTTTCTGTTCACCATTGTATTGCCAGTATTAGCAGTGCTTAATAATTACTTGAAAGGTGGATGGATGATAGATGGGAAAAAGTGAGTCTAAAAACACGTGTCATTAATACCTATCTCCCAAGGTACCAAGACAAAGAAACAAACTACCTTGCCATTTAAACCAATTAAAAAAGGGAAGAAGAGAAATCCCTGGTCTGATTCAGAGTCAGATATGAGTGGTGACGACAGTAACTTTGATGTACCTCCACGAGAAAGAGAGCCCCGGAAAGCAGGTAAGCGGAAAACTCATCGGATTCTAGTTAAGCTATAAAGCTTCAATGGCTGATGTACAAGGGGGCACTTGATCCTCGAAATTACTATGGCTAGAGCAGTTCTTGTATTAAAACTTCGGAAGACTAAAGTATGTTCTAGGAGGTTAAGCTGAAGCCTAAATTCTCAAGAAATGTTGTATCAGTCTGTGTAGATTACCTTCTTTGATCTTTTGTGTATGTATGTTTTAATAGCAAGATCCAAATTCACAATGGATTTGGATTCAGATGAAGATTTCTCAGATTTCAATGACACTCAAGATGAAGATTTTACCCCATCAGATGCTACTAGTCCACCTAAGGCCAAAACATCCCCAAAGTAAGCATATAATCTAATATGGGTTTTATAATGGTGGGTATGTTCTTTGTTGTTTGACATTTAAAATAGACAGTAAATAACAAAAGGGATGTTATTTTGCTATTCTAGACATGCTAACAAAGGACTGAAGACACAGAAAAGTGCCAAATCAGGTATGCACTTAAGTACAAATAGTAGGATGCTTTGCCGAGACTCAGAACTAACTGGGTTCTGATCCTAGCTGCACTATTAATTATGTGACCTTTCTGGGGCTTTTCTCCCCGACCCCCCAAATGCTTAAAATAGGACGAATGTAATATTAACTG